TTCCAATAAGAGATGCTTCTTGGTGTAAATTGTGAATGAATTTTGCATAATTCATGTGTTTTCACTGATTATCTGGAGATCAACCCCCCCATAAAATGGCACAAGAAATTAACAGAGCAAGATCATGCCAGGTGCCAACGCATTTGTCTGCTCTCCAAAAACACTTAAATATTTATGCCTAAACGCTCACTAAATCTGGGCTACGATGCTTTACTTCTCCTAGGATCAAGCTCACTGGATATGCCTAAACGCTCACTAAATCTGGGCTAAGACGCTTTACTTCTAGGATCAAGCTCACTGGGAGTAATAGTTTCAAATGTTAAGCTCCTTGAGAAGAAACTCAGAGCCCAATAAAAACCCACCAAACTAATTCTGAGTTTCCATAAAATTTCCTGAGAGGTTAAGTCTGAACAGAGCTAATGGTATCTCTCTGAAAATATGTAGGAAGGAGCAATCAAATTCTACTTTTTAAACTACTGTACATTTTTTTCAGTATTTTTAGAGCTTTTGGATTTGTTTCTGTGTGTGGCTGTATATGAAAACCTCTAAAGAGTCATTAAACCAAAAGGAAAATAGGACTAATCTATCTCTATCTAGTTCCCAGTATGTCCCTAGATGCTTTTATGGCCACCCTAGTTTGCAAGTTAGCGTATTGTAGGGAACAAAACAAAAAAAAAAGGGGAAATCAGGGTATTAAGAATGGAAAAGAATGAGTGTTTACACTGAACAGTTAGAGAAATTTTAATGAAACTTTCAAAGAAGATAAATACAGCCACTTTTAAATTGTCTTATCCCAGGATGCATTTTGACTATGTAAACACACTGCACAGTGTTGTTATTGGTTAATAGCGATAGAAAATGTCTAACAGGATATTGAAATAGAAAGTTTCTAACAAAAATAAACCCTAGCATTCCCAAGCACTACTAAAAAAAAAAAAAAAAAACCCCTTTAACCAAAATTAAAAAAAAAAAAAAAAAAAAAAAGGTAAGCAGTGCTTTGCTTTTTCGGCTAGGAAGAAATATGGAAAAAAAGTGCAGTGAAGTCTAGAAAAAGAATGTCCTGAGAAGCGGGACTGACAATGAGCTTTTGACTGACTGCCCAGAGCTGTGACTCTGTCTTCCCTGTTGCTTAGCAACTCCATGTTATCACAAAGAAACTGATATTAAGTTGGAACAGGCTGGATATGGTAATTTACGTGGGAAGATACTCTTGCAGTGGGAAAACCATTTTATTTCTAGTTTCTGTCAGCGTAAGTAGGTTTCACATGATGAACTGTAGTACATCCCCTGTTGGGTGCATTTTACCTAAAAAGGTAAAGAGTGACTCTGCCTTGGAAAGAGACTGTGCAGAAAAAAAAAAGAAAACCAACAACCCCCCCCACCTTGTTATTCATTAGACCTGATCCTAGCGTCTACTCAGACATTTCTTCCAGTGGTAGCGACAAAAGCTTGTTTTCATACCTGTGTGGATCCAGTGCAGATTAGAGAGATGGAACTCGATCATTATCATTTATACTATCACAGTCCCTAAGAGCTGTTGAGATTTGCCCAAGACCTCACTGTCTTATACAAACATTTAAAGATGATCCTCACTTTATCTAAATAGTCCCTGTTCTTTCTTTTGCGTTGGCAATAGTTAAGTGCTAAGTTTCAATTGCACTTTATTTCTTCCCTGCTGAAAGAAGAGGCTGCACACGTAGCAGTTACAGAATAATTTGAACGCCATGACAGAAACTGTCATTCAACTTTGAATTTGGGTGGTACTGTATGGGTGGGAAAAGACTCAATTTTTACTGAGGTGTATGGAGAGAATGGCAAGGGTATGTATGTAAAGCAAATCTTATCGTGAAAGCTTTGAGCCACAAGACATAGGTAATCCATAATGGTGTTTTTCTACTTGGGTTTAGGTCTAAGATTTAATTGGAAAGAGAAAAAGCATAGAAGACTCAGGATTTAATGCAAACCCCTTTTTCTTAAATGTCTGGTTTGCTGATAGCTCTACTGAACCACCACCACAGTCTCTCTGCATTTCCATCCTGCACCATTTCCAGTAATTTAACACCAACATGCAGTCCTACAAGTAAGGAAGTACTTCACATGTCTTCAGGACTCCCTGTTCTGGCTTTGGTCAGCAAAACACTCCCTGTCCTCAGGCTTCTCTATGCTGCAGAGTTAACTTGAAATATAACTCAACTTTTGCCCTTGGCTCAAATCCCAACCATACACAAAAACTTCTGACTTGAGTATGTTGATGCTGTTCAGCTGAAGGGATTGGCCTGGACTGTCAGAAGGCACAGGCAGCAGCTTCAATTAGCATAGCTAATACAGTTACCCGGTGCTGCTCCAAGAACTTGTCTTCATTGCCAAAAAAGGTGTATTTTTACTGTGGGTTAATTAGCCTGAATTAACTATCCTTATTTAAAAAAAGCCCTCCACCTCTTTTCTTACAGTGAAGACATTGCTTCCCTATTAACTCAGAGTGTCCCCTTTTGCTGAGGCTAAGCTAACTGAAGAGGAATGAACTCTGCAATGAAAACAGCCCACAATGTCCTAGGCATCAAATAGACCCATAGACTGCAAGCAAAGTCCTTTTCTGAACTGACTCATGGTGGGGAGGTAGCTTCCTTGCTCACTTTTCATTTGGCCAGCACAGCTTGCATCCTATCTACCAAACTAATGAGTTTGTCTCCTTTTTAATTTACCACATCACCTCCAATAAATCCAAAAATGCTCTGGGCTGTTATCTGACTTGGAGGGAAATAACTACTGGACTGACTCCAGCAGCAAGACTGGCTTAATTAAAACACAGTTTATTTCCCAAAATGGTAGTGACCAATTTTATTCTGAGTGCAACCTAAAACAACTTTACAACAGAATGGAATAGATGAACTTTGCTTTACCCTGAAGCTTTCAGTACTTTTAAACTGAGTTCTCCTGCTAAATCATGAAGAGCTGATTTCCTGCACTCCCTTACCACTAGCAGCTAGAGGCTAACTTTACCCACCTTAACTGCTGTCTTCCAAGCTAATTGCTAACACATACCGCCTGTTCCTTAAGCCCCGGCATCAGGGTAACGTAAAGCTTGCAGACAGTCTCCCATACCTTATGTTCATTGCATTCGCTCATGCTTGCTGTAGAGTGTTTCCGATGCCAAGTAGCAGCATCCTCTGGCTTGTGGGCCATGCTAGACTAAGGGCAGCAAAGCTGTAGCACCTCCTCTGTGCGGCAACAAAAATACCTCTACACTTCCCATCATCTAGGGGTGGGTTTGTTTGGGTTTTTTTTAGATTGAAAGTGTTCTTTAAACAGTTTGGTCACTATGACTTTTATTAAGGAAAAAAAAAAGCTGCTTCCTGTAGCACCCATATTTTCTGTATGCAATGTTTCTCACTGATGAGGAAAAATTGCTGATATGGTTTTTTATTCTTGAATTCTGCTAAGCACAGAACAAATAAGGGTACAAATGTGAGACAGGCAAGGAGTAGTTAGGAGTATGTACCCAGCACCTTTCGGGGTAGACTGACCAAGGGAGAGGTACACCGACCAAAGGAGGCAGCAAAGCTCTGGGGAGAGATGCTGTGGACACAAACCAAGGCAAGGGATCCCTCCCATTGTGGCCAAGTGGAGCTCTCCAAGAGCATTGCTGGGAGCCAAGAGGAGTTCCCAGGACTGGGGAACTGCTGAAAGCCACCATTCCCATCTTGCCCACCGTGTCCATTAGCACTTACAATTAGTTTCAGCTAGTCATAGTCTCAGAGAGTGTTTAAAGGAGGGCAGGAGTAAGAAGAGAAGTTTAAACATCTTTTTGTTTCCAGCACTACCCAAGTGTCTCTATGAGACTGGATGACTCAGCAGGTGAGATATATAGCTTGCCACCTCCAAGATTTTTATTTCATGTCTGTCTCAGGTTTGTAATGACTGTAGGACTGAATGTGATAAAAAATTAAACTGGATTTAGAAGCACTGTTATTGGCTTATATTAATGTTATGAAGTTAACTCTCAAGTCTTTTCTATAGTTATGGCTTCACGTTGACTTGCGAGGATTGGTACAGAAATGAATTGAAAGACAAATTAAAATAAGAATTGATAAGAGTAACTCAACTTTATTTTTGTTTGTGGTAGTGCTATCAACTCTGAAAATACAGCTGGTCTCCTTTGTTCTAGTACCAATCCTAGCACGGGGAATTACAAGGTGCACGTGTGTTTCCCTCAGGGTACAGAAGAACCACAGAAGCTGTAGGTGAATAAACAGACATGTTGAGCCAAGGTGCAAAAGTGATTTTATGTGCCTAGAATGCAAAATCAATTTACAGGCTGGAGAGCCAACAGATATGGGATTGGGAAGGCAGTAAATTTGAATTTTGGGTACTAAAACCCTAGCAAATCAAAAGACAACAGAGTAGACAAATCTTCTAAATGTTAAAGAAAAAAACACAAACAAAAATATCGGCAGAAACCTTTGCCCCCTCCAATAACATTGAGCATGACTCATGGGTTTGTGAATTTTGATGGGTGGTGGTACAAAAATTGTTCTATCTACTACTGACAGATGGTAGGTTTCTTGGTTTTAAAAATATGAAACAACTTGATCTCATGTACCTTGGTTTAAAAATAAAGCTCTTTTTATAGCATGTCTCGATTTTGACAACCATACTGTGCAGTAAATATTGGATTCCACGTATGAACACATTTTAAAAGCCTAAACCAGACTCCTATTTTAGGGGCAGGCTGATCCTCTGAGTTTGTGAAGCCCTCAGAAAGAGGACTCGCAGCTGAACGTAATGGCTTTTTGTGTTTAACTCTGAAGTTTGAGTTGGTTGTGGGTTCAGCTTTGAATTTAAAAATGCATTTCCTTGTTTGGTAGCTTTCTTAAATTTAATTTCAAAGATGTGTAAATACTAAGTTATCCATCTTTTTGTGATGGTAAGCCTGGAATAAATCTGCAGGAGTGAAATGTAATTTAATCTATAAGTAAAATGATTTCCTCTTCATATTCCAGAGCACAGATAACTCAAATATATCTATAATTGCTCAGAACAAAAAGTGCTTTGACAATGATATTGTTTGCTCGAAGAATGTTTTCATCACTGTTGGAGACACTGAGATTTATTTTAGTGAACCTTCTGAGAAGCAGGTTAGTTACTTTCTTTCCTTTTCGGGTTGTCCTTTAAGATAAGCATTGTAAAGTTACAACTCTAAAGGAGCAGGTTTTTGGAAAACATCTCTCAGTCTGAGTTAGCATAGTACAAGTGCTTAGGCCTGGATAAAGCAGCAGGTCCCAGGAAAAAATCTTATTTTTTCTTTTTTTTTTTGAGTTGTATTTGTCCTACAAAGACGACTGCTCAAAAGCCTCAAGCAGTCGAAGCATATTGGCATTTATTTGTTTCTTTCCACTTGGTTTTGAAAAGGAAACCAAAGTCCAAAATCAAAGCAAACTTGAATGATTGAAAAGACAAAATATCAAAGTATTAAACAACATTTCTAGTAATATTATTGATACAGCTATATGCTAAAGGTAAAGTATTCTTCACTATACACTTTGTTATTAACTGGCTGCATACCTTGGTAGAATTACTTTATTAGATCTTAATAAATATTCATTTCTGTCAGAAGATCTTAAGGGGACAGGAAAACAAATCTAACTATCAGCTTTGGAAGGCTGGATATTATACCGTCATACACTTTCCAGAACAGGACATTACAATTCTGTGGGATAAGAAGACAATGATGCATGTTAAAGTTGGACCTCGATGGAAGGTGAGCCAAAATAAAAACCTGAGATTTTGTGTAGCTCTCTGTGTTGCTAATGTGATCTCTTATTGAATATCTGTGATTGTCTTTTCTTCATGACTAACCTTCCCAGTGATATAGCTGTTTATCACGGTGTTCAGCTGCTAGCATTTCCCAGGTAAGAAGAGACGGAGAATGTGATTTAATGGCTGGACTCCCGAAGAGAAGGGGTGGTTCCTACATGCATGTTTACTCTGTTGCTCCACACGTTGCAACCTTGCAGATATGCAGTGATTCAGCTCTGACTCAAAGTTACTTTGGGGGTGGGAAGAGAGGGTTAGTTTTGAGTTACCCAGTTCACTGCATGTTTTCATAATTGCTGAAGTCAATGGAAAAGAAGCTTCCATATCTAACGACATTGAAGACGGCAGGTTTGCAGCACAGATTGGATTAGGATGATGATGGAACTGCACCCTGAGATGCAGTAGAGGCTGCTGAGATGAACAGATGAGTCACATCTTGGGTTTAAATTAAGAAGACAAGATACAGGAAAGTATCTAGATAAAAACTGACATTTAAACCTAATAATTATATTGTGACAGGGTTCAGCCACGATGCAGGGAAGAATATGAGGCTCTTCCTCTTGCCAGTTGCTCTTCTCTATTCCATTCCTACATCATCATCTGCCTTGGTGTCTCTGCAACTCAGTCTTTGGGTCCTGGCAGAGTAACCTTATCTGCACATTCAATAATTACACCTGCTTCATTTTGGGTCCTGGCAGAGTAACCTTATCTGCACATTCAATAATTACATTCCTGCTTCATCTCAACCATGAACACACGTATTGAGAGGGGGCTCTTTCCAGTAAAAGAAAAGAAAGCGCTCTATGCTAGAATATAATATCAGATTTTTTGAAGTGTAAGTCAAAGTTCCAATGACAATCTAATCTGGTTTTAAAGCATTATTATAGGCTTTTTCCCCAATAGCCATAAAATGCTTACTTCACATACAAGCTGATTTATCAGCCATTAATACACATAGTGAAAAAAAATTCTTCTGTTTTTGAACAGAAGCTAGCAGGGAGCTGAGTTCTACAGATTGCATGTAGGGACACAAATAGTTCAAGCTCTTTCTGTTTCCAATGACTGTTTCTTCCAGAGGCTCCAGTTCAGTAAGATAATGTCTGCAGCAGACCTTAAGGAAAAAGAATTCATTAGAGTGAGCCACAGCACCCTCGAAATCCAACTCTACATTTTACTGTTGTGCAGAAATATCTTTTTCTCTATGTATGTATATGTGTATGCATGTATATATACTTTTTCCATCAGCAGCACATGCCCCAACACAAGAAAGTTGCAACTGTCTCTTTTGTAACTGCTATTACAAATGTTCTTGCTATTGTGAGCTAAAATTAGAGGCAGCAAGTTTTAATGACAACAACTAGTCAGGCTTCACAATCATTAGGTAATTCACCTGGACTTTTGACTTGGACTGGATGCAATACTCAGCTTTCAGAAAAAAATGTGACTAGATTCCAGTCCCTTTTCACAGGCAGACAGTAAGAACAGGTTCTGGAAAACAGGAAGAAAAAAGGAAGACATAAATTTCTATTAAAAGTTATTTGCAATATGGAACTGTAAGCGTAGCAGACTGTCAGATATTTTCAAAGTATAAGTCAGCGTTGTATTCACCTTTTTCAGTTTAAGATTGTTTTATTCCACGTATGTCATTTGTACCAATTATTGACTGTCAGTATATGTAAAAAAAATAATCCTTCTTCTCTTTGAGGGTAAACTGGCAGGTTTGTGTGGAAATTTTGACAAATATACTTCAAATGATCTGACTACATCCAACAACATGGAGGTGAGAAATGCACAGGTGTTTGGAGACAGCTGGGTATTAGGACAGGTAAGTCCCAAGTCCAGTAAAAATTTAGAAAAAAAGGATGATAATTTTAATTTATAAATGAACACATTATAAGCACATGATGTACAGGGATTTTCTAAACTCATGGTCAGTGTATAAGAGGACATTTTAATTTTTATGTCTGTAGATGTGAAATGTGTTAATAATGTCTTACGTCATAGCACACATACTGAATTTAAATGAAACCAAACAATCTCTTTAGGGAAGAATGTAAGATAATTATCACAGCTGTCTGTCTTTCAATTTTCTACAAAGTTAGATACATTGCTTCTGATATTTTGGATTCAGCCCAATTTTAAAAACAATTGTAATTTCTCTGGTGTTGGAGGCATCAGGATATTGAAAGTAAATAGAATCTGAACGCTGGGAAAAAAGGTCTGGAAAAAAGTTTCTTTCTGAACACTGAAAAAAAATTGGTGACTTTTTTTTAGTTGACTTTCTGAACACTGAAAAAAAATTGGTGACTTTTTTTAGTTGCAGTTTGTAAACAGAGAACAAACTGACAAAGCAGCGGTGGGAAAGGGGTGAGACAGAAAAGGCTCAGAACAGCAACAGGCACAACCCAGCATGGAAACTTGGTTTCTGAGAAGGGGAGAGGCTGTAGAGAGTGGATGACCGCAACTGTGTTTTAAAACACAGAAGAATAGGTATTTTATTAATTTGTGCTGGGAAGATATAAGGTTTTATAGCCTTGTGAAACAGCTGAAAAATCAGTATTTGTAAAGGCACTCCCTTAGGATGTCTGTGAAAACCAGTTTTTAATCTGTTCTCTCCTTGACTCACAGCAGGAAATTGAACCAAAATCTCTCACCTCATGAAAGAATATGATACCTATTCTGCTTTGGAGTAAAGATTTTGAGGCTTCTTTCCCTCAATATCTCCCTTTGAATCTATTTTACTCTACATAAAATGTTTAAATTGTGTGAGCAAGCAAGGCAAATGTGTAGTGTTGGTGGTTATACTGCTCATCTAGAAGGTAGTACATAAAGAAATGTGTAAATACTTTGTGTGAAGTGTATGAATTTTTCTTTTCCAATTTATCAGTTCAGTGGCTGCTTTAAAAAAGTGTGTAGTGTTTGCATAGCACATTAACTTCTAGGATGTTGTGACCTTTGCTTAAGCAGCCCAAACTTGCACTTGCCTTTTTGTGGCCATATATATATATACACTTGTAAAATCTCATGTAATCTTCCAATCTCTGTGGCTGCCAGAGCACTCAGGATCTGAGTTCAATATTGGCCTCGCAGGCAGCCTGCGCTCAGCCAGACTGGACACTTCATCTGCCTTTGCAGTAGGCATTAGGGATTTTTTTCAGAAAGGACCTTTGGCTTTCGTAGAGATGTATCCTGGTCATCTTTTCTGCAAAATCTAAATACTGTAAAGGAGTATTTGATAGCTGGAGGCCTAGAACCCAATTCTGCTACTGACAAACGTGCTTGCATTGGCACCGTGAAGCGTGGGATGCTTCCAGGGTTTCTCCCTCCTGGGAAGGGCAGCATGTCCCCCCACGGTGGCGTCCAAGCATCTGCACAGGAGGGCAGCGTAGGTGGGCGACTGCACTGCAGCACAGGCTGGGTCAGGACACCCCAATGCTGCGTACAGAGCCATCATTACCCCCTCCCAGGCTTCCCTGCTGCACCAAGAGAGTATGGTTTTGGATGAACTCATGTTTTCTGAGCTGAGTGTCATTTTGTTATACTTTTCTGTTCAATTGTTTTTCTTCTTGAAGAGAGACTTTAACAGAGGGAGTTGTATCTCAGCCATTTTTGAGTTATCACCATGATCTTTGACTCTATTTTTTTTTTATGGGTTGCTCTCTTCCTACTGCTGCTTCTTTATTTGAACTTACAGGGCTAAAGTGTGACTCCATTTAAAGTCAGTGCAAAACCACCAGGGATGGATTTGGACCATGTATTTGTTTGTGATGTTACAGTTGGTTGCTCTGGTAATGATTATAATGTGTCACAAAGAAAACATTTTGTCTTTATACGCTGAGCAGACAGCAGGAACATTTCAGTACTTCAGAACAAAACACAAAGATTCTTTTTTGTGCAAATGTTTTCAATTACAACAACAAATCAGGGAAAGGGAAGATGAAGAAGATAGCATTAAAACTTTATTTTTGTTTTCTGAGTATGCAGGTATTGAATTATATGATACTATACTGTACCTGAGTCTATGGTAAACACGCCTTCGTACAAAATGTTTGTGGTGTTTTTGCTTGTTTTTAAGTGCAAGAGCCCAAATGAAACATTAAGACCATGTGAGGTACATCAGAGCAAGTTCCCTTACGCCAAAAAGGAATGCTCAATTTTATACAGTGATGTTTTTGCACCTTGTCGCAATGTGGTAAGTTTATTAAATATGCAAGATGTGCTCTCATGTAGGAAAATATTAAAATTCCAGTAATTAATTTCTTCTTGCCATTTCCCTCAGTCTGAATGCTGTGGAGGATACAGAGTAGAGCCCTGCAAGTATCTCTGTGTGGGTGGGCTGTGTTTGTGCAGAGCTCCTTGTTCCTTTCAAGACTGGAGCCTAAACATAATAGTGATAACTGGGAGCCATGAATTAGTAGACTGGATAATCAAGGTTCTGTTCTCTTTAGGTTTTATTTATATCTTTTATTTGTATAGGTAACTAAATTTTTAAGGCTTTTGTATATACTACAGGATTCTAAAATAAGCGTTTGTGTAATGTGCCTACAGCTTATCTCAAATGGTTTTATTTTGTTAACTGTCCTGCTCAATATAGAAAGAAATATGAGAAAGCGAGAATTTAGCTTCAGAGCTTTCAGTATTTTTAATTGGCTGACAATTTATCATGTACTTTTTATCAGAACTCTGAGGTTTGTTGTCCTTGTTTTCCCAATACCTGGCTGAGCCTGGGACTTGAGTTACAAGAGTGTCCTTAAGATCAGTCTAGACAAGATGGGGACAACAATAGCTTGTGTGGGAATCTTTTATTCCATTTTAGTCCACCCTTTATCAACACAAGACATGCTCTATACATTTTTCCCTATTTCTGATTGTAGCCCCCCAAAGGTAGTTATCGAAGGTGCTTCTTTACACCTGTGCAAGCAAGAACCACTATGACGTTTCATCTCAGTCTCTTATTTTCTTTATGACTATTAATACTAAATGAGATCATTAGATGTCCCAGCTGAACCTCTTGACTTTCAGGACTGAAGTTTGATATCAACATGGTTAGGAATTTGCCTGAGGAGGAGGTTGCAGTAGCTTAACCCAAGAGATTTATTAATGTTGACTTTAGTTACTATGTAAAGAATTTTTTGAGCATGTGCCTGAGAACATAGTGATGAGTGTATTTTCAAAGTGGAAAGTAATAAATAAAAATGGAACTTTTGAGAGTTTTTAAGGAGCTATATTATAACTCATAAAGAAAGATGTTTTCTCTTGAACATTCATTTTCCATGTCTTATCCATGTTGTGATTAAAATTTGCAAACGTTATGCCAAAGATTTAGCATAATTGTGTTAAAAAATGCATGTCAGGTGCAAAACATGTCATTTAATTAGTAGTCAAGTATTTTCACATGCACATATCCATCTTGTATGGGACAGCCTGTAAAGCAAACATCTTTCAGGTGTTTTTACAACCTATTCATCAACGTGTGAAAATACAGCTCTTACAAATGCAATGTAAAGTGACCTCCTATCAAGGATATCTGCAGCTGACTGCTGGCTGCACGAGTGGGGAACAGGGTGCCAAGGAAAAAAGCTGACACTAGGAGCATGGAAGGAACAGAAAGTGTAGATGTGGGTTTCAGGACACGCTTGGAGCAGTGCTCTTACAGTTGCTTCTGCTGTGCGGGTGGCGGAGGATCCTGCTGTGCATGGAGGCAAGCTCCTGCCTGTGGGACAGGCGGCCTCAAGAGTTCAGATGAGGCTGGAAAATCCCATTTTCAAGGAGACAAAATCTTGCATCTCTGGCTGGCAGCGACTGACAGATTGCAGTTGCCCAGCTAAGTGCTGAGCTCAGCAGGGGCAGAGGAGCCTCAACACTCGCAGAAAAAAAGGTCTTCCTCATAACTCCTCGACTCAGCAGGAGCTTTGACCCTAGGCTGCCAGTTTGTCACAACAGCAGGATGTTGCTGACCCGTGGAGAGATGCTGTCCTGCAGACATGAGAGACAGGTTGAGCTCTTTGGAGCCAATCTGCTATTTGGTGGATCCTGCGAAGCTATTACAGCCATTTTCAATGGGGCTAATGCTTGTGCCCCCACCCCAGTGGTATCCCTCTTTTCAAAATAAGAAAAAGAAAGAAAGCAAAATGGCATCTCTCTCCACTGAAGGCAGAAAAACAGTCTTCGTGTCCCTGCCAGCTTCTAGCAACTGCCAGCTGAGAAGCTGTCTCCGTGTTAGATTAAGTGCTGCTTTGTTACTGTGACGGTATTTCTGTAATCTGACACGTGCCATTTGAGTGCTCTACAACTGAGCTAGACCAGAGTCTAAACTGAAGAAAAGCATCGCTTTAAACATTCCATGTATTCGGTAAGAAGACTGCTTTGGAAGCGTTGCTCAACATTACAAAAAAGATGATTAAAACCCAAGAAATAGTGTATCATGTAAAACCACGAAATAATGTGATAGGATTTTAGAGTGAGGACGAGGGTTTCTGATCTAATGAAGGTTTGTGGGCAAAGTATATTAAAATCTTGGTAAGTGCAGAAATAGTTTTCTGCAAAATGTCACCAGCATGCTCAAGCTTTCTTTCCCTGACCAAAACTCCCTCCACAAATTATTACTTTAATTACTTGATAATCAGAGCTGCAGCTCTGACTTTGTTGTTGTTCATGCAAAACTGACAGGATGACTATAGATGGCAGTATTTGCCTTATAAAAACAGAACTGCCAGCTTCAATATACTCTCCAAAATCGATGAACGGCAAGTGTGTGGACAGACATGTCAACAGTCACTGACTGAAATTTTCTCTTGGCCTGTAATGAAGGTACAAGCTGATCGTTCAAAGTGTACTTTTTGTATAGGAATGTACCCAAACCTTAGAAAATACCATATTTTTGTGTTAAATTCTTTCAGTCAATCCAGAGGTAGCACTCCTGCTGAAAATGGTGCAACAGGACTTTGTACAGCTCATGCAGTTAAGTCACCAGCCCTCTTTATTTTTTTCTTTTTCCCCCCCCCAGATTGATGTGACTTCTTTTGTCAAAAATTGTCACACAGATACGTGCAACTGCAATCTTGGTGGGGACTGCGAGTGCTTGTGTACCAGTATTGCAGCTTATGCCCACAAGTGCTGCCAACAAGGAGCAGCAATTCACTGGCGATCTCCTTCGCTCTGTGGTACGTACCTGGGCTGGCCTCACACCGGAGCTCATCTTTGAGGCATCTTTGGCCTTTTGCTGCCCAGTAATACAAATATGACAGAAGCAGGTGGATAACAAATGTACTTCTTCACATTTTTCAAGCTGTCTGTGTGTTAACTGTTAGTCTTATACTCCCAAAATTGCTGTCTTACTGAAGAGGATCTGTGCTCGGGGTGTGCCAGCGCAGAGACTGTTGGAAAGGCACCAGTATACCAGATCTGGGGTATGTCCAGTGTTGTCTGTAGGGCTGCAAAGAGATTCAGTCCGTTCTACTTCTCATTGACAGCGAGAAGGGTTCTCCGCTGTAGAATAATTCATGCTTCAGGGCTGCTGTCCTGGCACATCTACTGAAATACAGATGTTTTTAATGTTTTAAATTAAAACAGCTGTATGTCACTGAATAACAGGCTAAGGAAATATAGTCACTGACTGAAATACATTATGGGAAATGAAACTTCCTCTGATGAAAGTGAATTTTTCATTTTTAAGATGCAGATATACATAGATTCTCTTGTTACTTTGTAATAATAATGTGCATGTTTTCTTTTTCTTTTAGCTTATGACTGTGAATATTACAATCAAGGTATGTAGTATTTGATATTACTGTCTTTGATTCATCCTCATATTTATATACCTTTCTGAATACACTTACTCTTCATGTTTTCTAGCATACCAGCTAGCTATGTGCTAGAAACAAGTCGGTACTCCCTGGTTCCAGAATGAAGTCCATTTTTATAAAGCATTTAGTTGCAGATAATTCCGCACATCGACCACTCTAGAATACGGAAGGTGTCTTTGATGTACTATTCTATCATCTTTCCTTCTGTATGATGCTATTTTGAGATATTTCTCTCTCCCCCCTTCACTTATTTTGTTTCTTTTTTAAAAACAAATACCCAAGAGACACTTATATCAGTTCACTCAGACTAACCCTGGAAGAAAATACTGTTTGGTAATTTCTCTCTTTCACAGGTTAGAATGATTTTTTTTGTACTCCGGATTTGGGTATGTGAGTTTAATGAGCTCAGCAAGTTAGCAAAGCAAGTCCCCATGGGCCTTTCTGCTCTATGTCCAGGGACAGTGGTGGCATGGATACAAACATCGTAGTTGTAAGCAAAACAACACACCTGGCATCTCAGATGAAGCATGATACAGTGCACACTGTAAATAAAACCCTTCATAGCTTGTGCTGAGAAGAATCTCTGTCAGCTGCAGCAGTGTTGGAGGTTCTCTCTTTTCCGTTCTCGCTGTTTCCTAGGGTAGGAGCGCGTAGTTGCTATTGCTCGAGCTCATTGGACCTTCAAAACCATTAGAAGGGAGAGGTGACTTTTATGAGCAGCCTGGAGTATTGTATGTCATTTTGCAACATATTCCTTGTGTATTTAATATCATTATGTCATACTGACATTTTCTTCCCTCCTGTTCTGCTATGGATATCTAAAATACTGTTTTTCTGTGCAATATCTCATGTATCACTTGAGATCTGTCCTATATAAACACAAACAGACAATCCTACACAGACACATTAGTGTGCATCTTAGAAGATTATACATGGTTATTACCATTTGAATTTTCATCTCACTGAACTAATTGCCTTTGGCACGGGGAAATTCAAGTCCTTTTCTCCAAAAATGAATGGTGTGGATATAATGCATCTCTGATGATACCGAGTTAAGGTTAATCAGAATAGTAATTAATTTGGTATGATTTTTGGAAAAAAATAAAAAAGCCTCAAATTTTATGAACATTTGTCACACTATGCAATTATCTTCTAGGTTTTCATTCTGAAGTGGCTTGCTTTGTTTTATTTTTCCTTCTTTCATTGACATATAAAAGAGATTGCTCTGGTTCAATTAAAAACTCAGTTGAATTAATTGATGGGCTTTTTCTTTGACTTGGTGTATGTAGTTTTAACATTGCTTCTATTTTTAATGGGTGAAGGTCAGTGGCCCAGTTGTGTTGAATGATCTTAGTTATCCCTAATGTCTCAATTAATAACCTCATCATATTCAATGTGGGGGTGGATTAATGCACCATGCAGCATACCTTGGCAGTCAGGGAGAAGCTCTAGAAGAATGTTAGCTTGTGCTTGTACTGTAAATTTCAGAACTGGGACTGTTATATTTTGAAATTGATAGGTTACAAGATTTTATGCAAAAGTCACACAAATATTGTACTGTAAAGAACAGTTCCTTAGAATGAGAGTGGTATTCATTTAACAAAATTAATTCCTGTGACATCCCCTCTTATATTTGGATACTGTGCATGTGCTTTGTGGGGAGCAAGGTATTGAAAAGGAAGGAAAGCTTGACTGAATACAGTGATATGAATGTGACTTTTGATATATCTTTTTTAGCGATTTGCATCCTATAATGAGCATCATATAGTAGATGATTTTTTTCTCCTCCAAGGAGTCTGGCCTACTACAGTAGCAGGATGTAGATCTTGCTAGGTATAGCTGACTTTCCATAATTTCCTTGCAATAGGGAATTTTGTCTTATTTAAAAAGTAGTAAGATGTACTGGTTTTGGCTCAGATAGAGTTAATTTTCTTCATATAGTTAGTATGGTCATATACTTTGGATTGGTGATGAAAACTGTTGATAACACACCCATGTTTTAGCTACTGCTTACACAATGTCAAGGCCTTTTCTGCCTCTCACACCACCCCCCCAACGAGCAGGCTGGGGGTGCACAAGAAGTTGGGAGGGGACACAGATGGGACAGCTGGCCCCAACTGACCAAAGGGATATTCCATACCATGTGACGTCATGCTCAGCAATAAAAACCAAGGGGGGAAGTTTGCTGGGGCTGGCATTGCTCGGGGTCCAGCTGGGCATCAGTCGGCTGGTGGTGAGCAACTGGGGTTTTTTGCATCACTTTTCTATTTTGTTTTTTCCTTTGTTTCTTTTCCTTCCCTCCTTCCTTCCTTCCTTCCTTCCTTCCTTCCTTCCTTCCTTCCTTCCTTCCTTCCTTCCTTCCTTCCTTCCTTCCTTCCTTCCTTCCTTCCTTCCTTCCTTCCTTCCTTCCTTCCTTCCTTCCTTCCTTCCTTCCTTCCTTCCTTCCTTCCTTCCTTCCTTCCTTCCTTCCTTCCTTCCTTCCTTCCTTCCTTCCTTCCTTCCTTCCTTCCTTCCTTCCTTCCTTCCCTCCTTCCTCCCTTCCGCCTCTCCCTCCCCCC